CACTGCTCATTCCTTTAGTCTTTTATCCTACAATGTGATCTGGTACAGTTATATTTCATCCCATAAATGATTGCACTGCCAGTGGCACTAAAATGGCTTCTGTTTTACAAATGGAATAAATAATAAACTGCATGCACACACTGTGTATGTATTTTCCTGGAATACAATCATTTTAGCTTAAAACTATGCTCCAATAGTTACTGCTGAACTTATATTTATGAGGCAGTTTTAAAATAGCTTCGGTTAAAATAAGTATTTTTGCAAGAAAGTGCTAAAGTGAAAGCTTGAATATACTTTGGAACTTGAGTAGCTTTGTGAAATGTCTCATCAGTGCTCCTGGAGATGTTTTAGTCATTAGGAGTTAATCATTACCTGAAATTATGGGACAAGACCTATTCAAAACCAGTCTACCACGTAGTGTTGTGTTAGGGAAGAAATGCAGACACTGACTCATAGCTGTCAGTTATTTATTCAGTCAGTTATGATGTGATTCTTTCCACCATTATTTTTCTTTTGATTCATAGTAAGATGCTGATCTGGTGGATGAGATTTTCTCAGTTAGAGCAAGACCCTGTCCATCCTAATCAATAGAGACATTTGAGTGTCAAACTACCAGAGGAACACCACAACATTTTAAAGCAGTATAAGAAAAAGGTAAAGAGGTCAATGAGTTAACATTAATCTGGAAGGGGCACCTGAGTGCCCTCAAATCAGAAAAATTGTGCTCAGCAGTGTTTGAGAGCAACAGAAAAAAAACAAGAAAAAATTCCAACAGGTCAAACACTGGTTTGCTCCCAGGACCATGCCAAGTCATGGATATGGCAACAATCAAACCTCCAGGCAGCAGCAGACACAGGGCTTGGGCTGACACACAGGAGGTGCCTCACTCTGCAATTTCCATAGACACAGTCAAGAGCAAACTGGTTCCTAACTCGGGCGTATCAGATGCTCCAGAGCACATTTTCTTTCTACACTACAAAGCCAGGCAAGTTCCCCTCCAGCTGTGTAGTGTGTCAACTTTCTTGCATGTAGGGAAAACAGGAACACCTTCTTCTGCCTGTGTCATATTAATATGAAGATTAGACCAGATGGGTACATGAAGTAACAGTCAAAAGTCATGGTAAAAATTTGAATTTAGATTATCTAATAGTGTCAGCACTTGTGGAAAGTGCCTATTTGTCACGTTCTCATGACATCACCATTTTCTGTCTAATTTTGTGAAATTTGATCAATATTCACAGTTTTAAGCAAGCAGAGAAGTAAACAAAACCATTGCAGTTATTTATTCAGACTGTGCTGACACACAGCTATTCATGATGCCTGTGCATCACACTACTGATAAAAACATTCATTTTTACTAGGTCTCCTATATCATCAGTTTGCTCAAGGGGAATAATGAAGCCTATTTTCCTTCATCCTGAACTGATGTTTATGTTCTCATATGTTACCATCTGATTTGTCCTGACCACTTTAAAAGGAGTGTTTTTCTCTACTTTCTCTGCTTCAAAATCCCCTCTTAAGTTTATTTGCTGTGCTTGCGGGTTGAGCAATGACTCTTTGATTTAGCTCATGCTTCTGAACTTGCATATAAACTAATCTTTCAAGACTTGGCCTTTTGCTGACATTCTTCTAAGTTCATGGTTTTTAGGGTGCATAATTTTCTACATGAACCTGGTATTGTGCTGCTTCTGTTGTTATAGTGAAGCTTGAGGAAGGTGGTTCCTCAGAAGTAGCTTCTTTCCTCTTACAACTAGAACAAATCCAGGCTCAGGGTCAGACAAAGCATCACAAGCTCCAGCCTGGGCAGCCTTCCTGGCTGAGGAAATTCCTCAGTGCTGTTCTTGTGGCAGAAATCTGACAATCTCTATCTGTTTACAATGTCTATTAACACTCTGAATAACAGCACAGGCACCACAGAGGCCTTGACTCGATTCCACAAGGATGGCAGGTAAATATTGCCAAAAAAATAACAGTCCACTGTCAGGAGCAGGGGATTTCCAAATCTGAGCCTGAAAGCCTGGGTGGAGGACAGCCAAGCACAAGAGATGTGGAAGCCAGGAAAGGGTCAGAAAGGGAGCAAAGCTTGCTGAAGCTGATTTTAAACAACCATTTGAGATATTGGCTGTGGTTGTAATATCCACCGCTGTTGGATGAGATTAATTGCTGCTAGCATGGTTTCAAGGAGGGAAGAAGCATCTTCTAAGGATGCCAAGGTCCATCATTCCAAGCAGGTTTTCTGCCCTGGGGAGAAATGGCAGCATCTGTATTCTCTACCCCCAGACAGTTACACTGAGTGAAGAAAAACCAATCTCTCCATGATCCTCCTAAGACACCTCTGCAGACACAGCCAGAAGGCTTTATCATACAAGTGCCATCCCGAAGCAGTCTGGCAGAGCCTCATTTCAGGGGCAGCTAGTGTTAATGAAACCTCATTTGGACCAGGCTCTACCTCCCACACAAGTGGCCTGCAGAAGGCTGAGGATTGCCTTGCCAGCCTTCAGGCTGTCTGGGTCCCAGCAATGGGAAACAAACCCTAAGGAAATGCCTATCCCTGGGTTCACAACTCTGTACCCCAGGAAAAGGATGCAATCCACTGCCAGAGCACCACTATTCCAGTTCTGCTCTGCTAAGCTTTATCTGCTTTGCCTGCTACTGGAAAAAAGTGCTGAGTACAGAAAATCAGATGGATTTGTGTTTTCTTATGTATAAGATACCAGAGAGCAAGACAGATCAGAGTTTTGAATACCATTGAGATGCTAACCAGGTCACAGATGTCTGATTTAGGAGGCATATTCCTATCTTTCTAAACTTTCAGAAAGAAATATTGTTAATGACAGCACCGGCATCTCATGCATTTCCCCAAGCTCCTTCACTATTAACTGATATCATGAATGTTTAATTAAAGCTTTGGCAGAGAAGTAGATCAGGACTACTGTATCATTTTCCCCTCAAGGCGTGCTTCAGCATGCTGATGCAGATTGCTTGGTCGGTGAGATATATCAATATTATAAGGAACCATGTGTCAGGCCCAACACATTAAAGGCTGTGTTAAATTTTAACATAGGTCATGAATCACTTAAACTAATTCAGCCAACCAGAATTAGAATGAAAAATATCAGTAACAAGGAGCTGGTTTTTGTTCTGGTTTTATGTATGCCGGAGGATGAGGCACCTGAGCAAAGGTTCGTATGCAGCAACTGTAACTCTGCTCATGTAGGAATGGTTCAGACATTTGGATCACAATGCAGAAAGATCTTAATTTTAATTTTGTTGAAAACCTCATTATAGCTTTCTGAGAATTAAAATTTAACAGCTTTGTTTGGGGGAGCCTATTAAGACCATCAACTCTGATATAAAATAATAAACAGTGTATAAGAAAAAAAACTTTTAAAGATAAGTTTTCCCCGACATCTCCTGAAAAGAGAACAGGGAATGTTCGAAGTGAATGCTGCCTTAATTAGTTTTTCCATTTTTCACCATTTATTGGCGTTGTTAGCTAAATTTTCTTACAAAGGTGTTCAACTGCGAAGTTATTGTGGGTTAAATCACAAACATATTCATTAAAGTGAATTGAATAATCTTTTGGCTTTACTTGCACAAATAATGATTGTATGCCCTACACAGCATGATAAGTATTTACATGATCTTACATACTTTGAGCAATATGTCATCATGATTCACCATTCTTTATCTCTATTTATTTTTGCTGATTTTGCTTCTTTTATAGCTCACCTCTGTCTAGACCAGCACACAACTCCTTTTAAACACAAGCTTAACCACACCTAGACATGTAAGCTTAGCTGGGCAAAGAGATGATGTTTTCATCAGATTAACAGCTTGCCTTTCTATTTCAGTAGCATGGAAATAACCTTGTCCTCTGAAAAAACCTTTATTTTTTCCTCCTTGCTGTAGGATGTGCATTGATGAAGCATCTGACAATGACGTTCACTGAGGACTATTATTAAAAGCACTTGCTGCAATAAATTTACTCTTTCACTTTCTGCACATTCTTGGTAAGCCTGCGGTATCTCAGAACCTGTGCCTGTCACTGGGGACAGCACAGAAGCACTCACTGAGCTCTGCCAGAAGGAAAGGCACCGCTTTTGGCATTGGGAATAGCAGCAGCTCCAGAGTGAAAGACCATTGTTCGGAAGTGGCACAATCACCAGAGCCGGTGGCACAGCAAAAGCAGCGCTGAGAGCACTGCAGCCAGAGATGCAAGTAACAGGACTATTCACAGCCCGCTTTTCCCCAGGGGATGGCGTCTTGCGAGAGACTTCATTAGCTGCTGACAGCAGACAGACTGCGCCGCGCGGGGAGCGAAGGGGAAACACTCATCAGATGGCCCCAGCCACAACTGAGGAAACGCACTGAAGAGATAACTGGCAAGCGCGGAGCTTTGCTCGCTGCTCAGGAGAAGTTAGTCACATCCCTGAATGCAGCGCTCTGTTTCTTTTCTTGCAGCAGGGCATACAGAGCTGCCCTGCACAAAGGGTGCTGCTGTCAATTCAATGCACCCTTGGAATCTGCCCAGGCTGTAGAACATGGCATCTGAATTCCAGATCGGTTGCTAGTTGTAAGAAAACCCCTCAAATATCTTGGCATTTGTTTCTTTTAACAGTCAGGAGAAGAGAGCCACCAAGCCTCATTACCTGTCATTCAGATCCTTGCTGTGTGTGACCTCTCGCTCTGTCAATAGAACTTCCCTCACTGCGTGGCCAGCAGGATGCGTGTTCTCCTTGCTGTCCCCAAGGCATTTATTCACAGAACAGGGTCACATAGCCCAAATTGTCTGTATCCTTAAAACAAGGGATCCTCACTCCATCCACAAGTTTAAAAACCTCCATCCTTACTAAACCAGCTCTGAGGTTTTTTGCCTGCCCATGTTCTCCACACTCAAAAGGTCTTACTAACAGCTAAAGGCCTGAAACACAAGGTTTTCTATACACAGGTACTCCCTCATTCACTCCAAAAATTTACAGAAAAACTCATTGCCTTACCTGCTGCTCCCCAGGGCACTTGAACATGTCTCGTGTGCACAGCAGATTCCCTGGCACTGTAGACATCCTTGCACCGCAGCCCAGCTTTCTGCAGGATCACAGAGAGCTTCTCTTTTTCCACATGGCAGCTGCCTTGCTTCTCACCAGCCCTGAAGTCAAGCCTCTGTTTTAAAAGCACACCACCATCCTGCTCCTTCAAACTTCAGTTTTCTCTGTGGATTCTCCAGGCTCACCAAGTGTCTGTGTTTCAAACGTTAATACTTTGATTAATGCCTTTCTTTAGCAGACATTCTACTCTCCAAACCCTATCTCCTATAGAACGTCTGACAAAAACTGGCCTAAAATGCTATTAGTCAAAATCCTGTTCTTCCCAGAGGATACACTACTGGTCCTTCATAACCAAGCAGGCTATTTATAGGAATGGTGACAGTGTGTCTAACCCCACAGTACAATGAGAATGAGGCAGTCCAGACAAGACAGGATGATAGAGGCTGTTCATAAAATCAAAACTGGAATTCATGTGCTGTACGTCAATAGGGATTTAAGCAACCACTTTCTTTTCCCATTTCAGAGGGAAGAAATAAAGGCCCTCTTAGCACAGGGACACACAACACACTGGAATAATTAATCCATTATTTTGAAGAATAATGTTGAAGTTTTGTATCTGTTATAATCCTAATGTCTCCTCTTTCTGCAGGGCAGTGCTTCCACCTCACAGGCACCTGCTTTCACACTTCCCAACGGAGCTTCTTCCTCATAAACTGCATTGTATGTCTATCTTAATAGACAGAAAACCAGGTTCTTTGATCTGAGCAGCAAAATACAATTAGTTTGGGATAGAGAACAGAGGAATCCCAGACAAGCCCCAGACAAAAGCAGAAATGGCAGGGAGGCAGAATTACCTTAGGGAATGCACAAGGAAGCACCAGTGCCAGCTGGGTTACAAATCAGAGCAGCAAGCAGCTGTAACACTCTTCTAAGGAGCTGGATGGGAAGCCAGGCATAAAGAGCAGAGGCAGCCCAGTGTTCACATCATTTCCCTGGGCAGTAGTTAAGGAGCTGGGGGAGCACTGTAAGAAAAGAGAAAAGACATAAAAAGTAGCCAGAGATGAGATGAGGATCTAATATTGTCTTAGGAATGCACCTAGCTGAGAATTAGAAAGACCTGTGAAGAGGCAGGGAAATGGCATTTCTTGGAGTGGGGCTGGGAGCTGCAGTGCCTGGGGCACCCTGCAGTGGCACAGGGGGCTCAGCAGGCACCAGCCCCTTGCCCTGGCCAGGCTGCTCCGACATGGGGGCAGACCCCACGGGTCCCAGCTGAGGACCCTCACCACCAGTACTGACACTTTTCCCTCTACCTACAGCAGCAAATAAAGCCACCACCCCATCTCTTCCAGACCCAAAGAGGAAGATAACCAGCTCCTTTCCAGCCTGTCTCAGCATGCCTGGCTGGGCCATAGCCCTTTGGGCTCGTGCATGTGGGTGGGGAGGCAAGAGCACCCTGTGCTGACTCTGCCCATGCTGAAGCCCTGTGGATGTGCTGAAATGGAATATAAATAGCTACAGAATGGCTTGCTAATAGTAAATAGCAATAAAACTTCTCTATCACATGTAAAAAACCACATAAAAAGAGAAAGACAAAACTCCTCCCCATTGTGCTTGCCTATACACACCTTCCAAAAGACATGGCTGGATTTTGGCCTTGATACCTGGAGGAATACATTGCTAATAACTAGAACTGAATTTGTACTTAGATATGTACTCCAGGAAAAAATATTACCCAAGTTGTCTGCAGTTGTAGCAACTCATTACCATAATTTTCATTTTTATTTTTTTCTTCATACAGACGCAGAATTAAAAATCAATTTCCTTCTTAAATAAAAATCTGTGGCTGGATACATCCCACACATAATTCTGTAATTTCAAGTCCTTGTGATTGATTATTTCTTCAGTAGTCCCTAAGGATTGAGAGTAGAAAATTTGAAGAGAAAGAAGATGTTTGTTAAATACAACTATGTGTGCCTTAATGTACAAACAGTAAGTAAGACCAGAACATATTTTGCCTGCAATAAAATGCAGACTCCCTTAATCCCCAGAAATTCACTGCTTTTCTTCAGAGCAAACATTTATTGGTAATATACACTTCGCTGAACTAGGTAAAACTCACAGCTGCAAGGACAGTGAGGGTAAACCAGAGGACCAGACATGAAATGAACAAAACCACATGTAAAATTATTTTTGAGAGGCTCAGTGAAATTAAATGCTGTCATTGCTTAAGACAATCTACCTCACTGACTGCATTAAATTTGCCTAGATGCATCCCTGAGAAAAAAAAATGTAGCTGCCTGGCACAAAACACAGAGATACAGAAATCAAACAAACTCCCATGTGAGAACTTTATCAAGACAGGTAGAATAAAATCCTTTTTACCTTTTTTATACAAAATTAAGTAATAGAAATATCTGAATATTTTATGGGACAGATTCTTCTGAGATGCTTATTCAAGGCCAAAAGCCTCAGGCCTACGTCATTGAAGATATTTACTTAATTTTGGTTAAACCTTTTGGTCAAACAAGCGCTAAGTTATATCACTTTACATCCTGAAGACAAATACTGCCTTCACTTGATTTGGAGTTATAAAGGATGCTGGAAGTAGTGATGGAAGCACTTTATATGTTTTTACTTCTATTACAGTGTGGCTTCAATCAGAAACAGAACTTTGTGGTAGAAATTGAACAAATATCATATGTATTTATACAACTCATACCCAGAAATTCAATGCAGGCAAATTAATTCTATAGCAGAAGAGGTAAATTTTACACAGAAGTTGCTGGAGAGGGGGCATGACAGCGGGGATGGACTCTGAGCATGTGCAATCCATAGGTAAAGAGCACCTGAAGGATGTATGGACTGAGAAGGGACTTCGTGAGGCTTCAGGAGATGAGTTTTGCCTCTGCTGTCTGGGGAGGGGATTGCTGAGCACTGTGCTGGGGACAAAGGCAGGCACCACTCAGGGTGCACACCAAACACAGTGCCAGAAATCACTGCTCAGAACAGAACTGAGCACTAAACACACGAGTTTTATTCTATCAGTCATAAACCTGAGTGGAGCGAAATGTAATGTAGTGCTAATAGACTCAAAGTATCAGCAAGGAAAATTGAGATCAGAATATGATATTCATAATTTATAAAACAGGTAAGTATTGTACCATGCAATAAATAGTTACAGATCTCATGCAGGACTGAATTATTAACAACACCACAGATAATTTCACTGCAATGCTATATTTTTTTTTAAATAGTCTTAATGCAGTAAAATATCTGAATAAGCCAGAATGAGCATTATTATTATTATTATTATTTAGGCTGCATAAATGAGCACTAGTGTTTTAAAAAAATCAAAGACACTAAATTCAGGAATAGTAGAGCAACACTGACAAAACAGCTAAACTTCAAATATACTATTTTCCTAGCCAAATCAATTTCAGAAAAATCTTACAAGGTAAAGGATATACCACTAAACCTTTCTTGTTCTTTATACAAATTATGTAAATAAATTATCATTAACTAATTTATATGTATTTCATGATGAATTATATTCTCTTTTGCAGCCAGCATCACATTTTATTAAGACATTTTTTGGAATCACAGGGAAATTGTTTAAAAATATTTTTTTTAATTCATCAGTTGAACATACTTTTTAATATTATTAACTGCAAATTAGAGTGATAGCAGGAACAGACTTAGAATATGTGCTCTGAAGCCTATAATGATGTATGGCACTACTTACCATTCAGGACAGACCTTTCAATTCAGAAAGTGCTGAATGCATTACCAGGCCCATTGTCCAGAACCTCTGGCAGACATATCATTTGTCTCTATTGTGGTAATAAAGAGATTCCTGGCATTCTGGTATTAAGAAACCAGAAGAAATATATTAGTTTTACTTTACCTCTGCTACTTAATAACGAGCACATACAATAGAGCACACACTTCAGAAGATAGTATCCTATTGAACGACAGACTGTCTGCTTGATTTACATGAAATATCAAGTGCTCGTATGAGAAAAGGTTAAAATTAGATTGACGAGCAAATGTGCTACCAGACTGCTGGCTGACAAATGGCAAAGTTATGCCAACGTATTACTTATTCTGGAGGCGCCCAAGAAGCAAGCAGGAGGATAGTAATTCATGTGCTAAAATATATTCACATTTAGCATAAACAAAGAGTCCTCAGGGTCTGCAACAGGAACATATTAGCTACATGTAATTTATGCCAACCACTAAGTCAGTGGAACAATTTCCTTATTAGATATGGAATTTGAATGACTTGTATTTTCTTAAGTCAAGAGTGGGCTGCTCTACTGTCATTTAAATTATTTCAGAATAATGCCCTGATGAATGTCTACATTGTTCTCCAATAAATTGACTGTTGTGCTACATCCTCCTTCCTGCACCAGCCACACAATGAAAATAGAGATTAGTCATGTAGCTTTTCACAGTGGCTCTTGGATTATAGTCTGCCTGCTTCTTGGTCACCATAAAGAGCAGGCTAGTTCAGTAGTGGTGACTCCTTTCCCTTTCTCTTTTCCTTTCAGGAAGTTCTGCTGAGATCCATACTAAAATTTGTTCCCTAAAAGGTGTGAACTAAGGAAAAATTTTGACTTGCCCAAATAAAGGCAGTTTGAGCTCTGAAATTCAGCAAAGATGCATCACAAACTGACCTTTGTGCTCTGGGCATGTCTGCAGGTCTGGAAGTAAAGTTTTATGATTCTATGGGTACAAATACCAACCCATCAGAGATACAGGGCACCTCTGCAAGCATCAGCTTTAATGATTAGAAGCTGGATTTTGGTGATAATGAGTAACAACCAGTCAGATGCGCATCAGTTTTGGTTTATGAACTGGAAACAACATTCTGAAAGAGATGGAAACAAATTACTGACACCTGCTACTTTTTAACCATTTTACACAAATCAGCTAATTACACCGTGAAAAGCTGTTACTGTATGAAGTGGACAATGTAAAACTGTATCTTTCTCCCTCAGTACCCTACATCAATTCTGCAGTTCACTCCTGGGGAATTACAGGTTGGCTATAAAGTGAATTTTTCAACATGTGAACATGAATTAAAAAGTAATTTACAAAGCAGACAGTATGGGCTTGAACCTGCTCTTCATTGGAACAACTTTTTGATATTTTGTTAATATGTAATTTCA